GTGTATACCATACATTGAACTATATGTTATCATATAGTTCAATGATACCATACCGTGTACTGTGGCGTGACCACATACCGGCAAGACCTGCATTCGGGCAGCCTCATAGACCTTATAGATATTATCAGGTCTATGGGCAGCCTGCTTCTTTCATTCGCCAACACCGGTGTTATCTCTCCGAAGATAGTGGTGTTTCTGAGATAAGTATTATTATTATTGTTGTTTTATTTTAATATTGTGTACGAAGTAGGTTGGACGTTCCGTTGTAGCCGTAGTGCGTACGTGCAGTTTGTGTTTGTGGTTCGTCTGTAGTCCGCATGCGAGTCGCGATATTATAATATGCATGTATTTTTCATTCGATCGGGTCTGTATACCTAATATGTGTACGAACTACGGTCTCGCTCTCCTACCGTGTCCGTGTGTGCTAATGTGCATCCGTCTCTCTTTGATTGCGCGCGCGCTTGTGTGTGGTTTTTAAGACATTTGGTGGTCTGTAAATTGATTGTTTTTAGTTTTTATTTTCCGTTTCCGGGTGGAAATAAATTATAGTGTCATCAGATTTCGTCTGTCATYAGATCTTCCAGCGTGTGAGTGATATACTGATATTGCGCCCGGTATCATTCTCACGGATCTACATCTGCGYGRCTATCGTTACGACCTTCATGCAAAATAACGACCAACAATTTTGAACCTAAACGAAAGCATCACAAGCTAAGTCGCGATCGAGTAAAAATAAAAGACACCAAGTTCGATGGTTCACACCATTATGTGAATTAGGTATGTCACGATACTAGAAGGTACTGATTGAGATTGCTTTTAAGCTTCATTGATGAATGTTGTGTGAATATACCTTTTAAAAGTATATTGTATTTTTTTTTTTTCAGATTATGTCTTTGTAATGGGTCGAAATCGAAACAGAAGAGCCAGCCACAGTGTTCAAAATACCAATGTACCAATGTCCCAGCGCAGTGACTATGTTGATCTATGTCGTAACATTATACGCGACATGGATCTGTATGGAGTGTGTGTCTTAGATAATTTCCTAGGTTATCAACGTGGTATGACTGTACTTGATGAAGTTTTGAATCTATATAACATGGGAGTTTTCAAGGATGGTCAATTGGTTCGAAATAAAGCGAGTAATAATCTCAAAACTATACGAGGTGATCAGATCATTTGGGTTGATGGTCGTGAGGATTGTTGCAAACAAATTGGACAGCTTATAAGTGATGTTGATGCCGTAGTCATGGGGTCTAACAAAATGAATGACAATGGTAAACTTGGAAACTATACTATTAACGGCAGGACCAAAGTAAGTTGTTAAGAAAAATTAATTATATCCAAAAATTGATATTAAAAATAATAAATATATTTTTAGTCTATGATTGCCTTACAAATCAATTACAATGATTATTAATATGTGCTAAGATTACATAATAGTTATTAAAGAATTCCAATTGCAGTTGTATTTATTTGTCTGATTCTTTGTCTTTGTTTTTATGTATAAAATATTTAGTAATAATCAAATTGAGAAATCCAATTGATGAATCATTTTAAATTGTAAGACTAAATAATTCTAAGAYTTAAAGCCGGCTTTGTGAATATTATGATGTATTGAATATTAAACAATTAGTTTGCGGGTCAATTTGCCTGTTCACTTTTGTATTAAATACATATCAATTTGAGAGATATTTTACTGTGATTAGTAAATGTAGTTTCCTTTCAATTTAATTTTAGCAAATCAGGATTAAAGGCCATAATATCTCCAGTCTTTTACATGTACTTACCACCATTATGACTTAAACTACTGAAGAAAATATTATTTATTTTGTAGGTATAACTTTTATCATTACAATATGCTTTTGACTTTTTTTTTTGTCATTCTCAGTTTTTAGTTGAAATTGAACTAGCTACCCTGAACATCATTGGATTTAAAATAAACAGCTAAATGCATTGAATAATTAGCTATACTTTGATCTTACTTTATTTATAGGTTTTTATTATTTACTTTTATATCAAATTAAATGACATAAATTTATTTTAGGCTATGGTCGCTTGTTATCCAGGACATGGATCTCATTATGTCAAGCATGTAGATAATCCAAACAAAGATGGCCGATGCATTACTGCGATTTATTATTTAAATAAAGACTGGGATATTAAAGTAAGCACTCAAGTAAAATATTGGTAGACAGCCAAGATTTATATTTAGTCTAATTTATGAGACGTGGTCGACAACTCAAGGAGATGAGGAGAAACTCCTTATTTTCAAGAGGAAGGTGCTGAGGAAAATATACAGCCCTGCAACAAATGAATTAACAGGAGATTATGAAAGGAGAAAAAATACCAACTTAGAATCACTTTATAATAAACCAAATGTTAAATGCTTTCTAAAATCTAAACGTATGGAATGGGCCGGTCAAGTGTGGCGAGCTGAGGGAAGCATAATTCAAAAAGTACTGAATAATAACCTTACTGGCAAGCGTCCCAGGGGAATACCTYGCCAACGTTAGCGGGATAGAGTAAATGTAGATATAAAAATGGTGGACGAAGCAGCAAGTTTCGAGACTGCCGTTGATCGCGACAAGTGGAGAGGTTTAATAGAAGCTGCAAAAGGCCTTAAGGGCCCATAAAGCAAAAAAAAAATTATTAAATTAATTTTGTTCTTATTATTAATTTATTTATTTTTTCATGTAGTTTTATAATGATCATATAAATAAATAAAAATTAGCTCTTCATAGAGTGTTTATTGTTGTGATTTTTAATTAAATAAAATAATAATTATATTATCAGTAGACGTAAATCAAATGGTCTCATATTTCTGATTTATTATAATTAGGRCTGGGATTTCGATGCACTTTGCATTGTTTTCCAAAGCTTACTGTGCGATGCTCGTCTGGTCACAAATTTGTTTTATGTACTTATGAATGAGAATAAGAAAGTTTATTTTGCATATTTAGGTCATTTTAGAGTTTTCGAATCATTTTTTGAGTTTTTGGAAACCAAGTATGAATTTGAAATTTTATTTTCAGATTTCTACACCAACATGGTTTTTAAATAAATATAACAGATTATAAGTAGGTAGGCACTCRTAATTGGTATTATATTATTGGACAGGGTTTGAGTATCCACTACCCGCATTTCCTGTTAAATAATCTTAAATCGGAAAAATCGATGTCTGATGATATCGTTCAACGTTCAGTGCGAGTTTTGTCGTCATAAACACCGTTCTATTACTCTAGTTAATTTTTTTGGGGGGTTTTTAAGGCATTAAAATCCTAGCCCTAATTATAATATTTTATTTCTTGTAACATAATACATATTATTATAAATTATACATATCATTGATACACTTAGGTATTAAAATAGCTTTATTCTTCAATGCAGAAAAAAACTTGATTAATACTCGATAAAAGTTTTCAAAATAATTCTATTTGTATTTAGATAAAATGTATCTTTTTTTGTTTAATTGTTTTAATAATGTAAATTCTAAGTCTATGATTTAATAATTGTATTGAATTTATTTGTATTATAGGAAAATGGTGGCTTGCTAAGAATATTTCCGGAAGGTTGGAGTGATCAAGTTGCTGATATAGAGCCATTATTTGATCGTATATTATTCTTTTGGTCTGACCGAAGAAATCCTCATGAAGTTCAACCAGCTTTTAAAACTAGGTGGGTTTGGCATTCATATATCTTTCTTCCTAAGTATGGAATTGAGTTTAATTAATGYATGCATTAATTTGGATTAGGTATGCAATTACTCTTTGGTATTTTGATGGTAATGAGAAAGAAGAAGCTGGGAGAAGATTTCAAGATTCAAGTCAGTCTAATATCTGTTGGTACCAAAATGTTTGTTATTCATAATTTGTTAAAATAATTTAGTATTTTAATGTTATATTTATATTTTTCAGGTGACTTAAATAGCATACAAGTTCGTGATAATATTAGTAACATYTCATTGACTAGTAAATTGGACTCTTGAATTATGTACTAATATTTAAAAGAATTTGTGTTACTCAAGGTGATCTGTAATATAGATCAATTCAGTGATGGGATTAATGTTTTCAGTCTGTGATTTAGTCTATTGATCCAAGTACAATTAATTCCTTAATATAATTCAAATAATTATTTTTGGATTTAAAATAAATGGCTCARGCCATTTAAAATAAAGGTAGAAATAAGTATAACAAATATTTGTAAATTTTTAAATAAAATATAATAGAAAATAAAAATGTTTTATACAAGTTTAAATATCACAACTTGTATTTTAAAAAGCAACCAATTAAATTATTGTTATTATTTCAAAAATTATTTTGTTACCATTATGATGTATAATTTAGTAAACAATGTTATTTCTAATCAAATTTGCAGTAATTCATAATATGTTCTTATTTGTTAAATTTTTTAACAATATTATACAAGTATATTTCTGAATACTGAAAAATATTTAGAAAGTATTCACTATTCAGTGTTCAACATAACACATTTATTTATATATATCTACTTACTAACAAATTTTTCTCATTTACGGCGTTTCTATGAAAACAGCATAAATTATTGTTTTGTGTTTCTTACATAAAAAATCTTAACAACTTCTATAAACCAGTCTTTTATTTTAAATTTAACATTTTTGTTGTGTTTGATTGCTTCAATTTAAGCAGAAGCATTTATATTACATTTTTGAGCTAAAAAATTTTATCAAAATGTTATAATGTACATAGTAATCTCTTTTTGTGTGTATGTAAATAAAGGTTTTTGTATTTACAATTTTATAAATTGTTTTTGCTCAAAATTATTGCTCGAATTTATTGTATTACATTGATTTATCTCAGTCAAATCCATTTGGTTAGAGTATATCCGTGGGTCAGTAGTATATATAATCAAAATGCACCACAATATTAACCCAACAAATGAAAGAACTAATAAACAGCTACGTTTTGGCTCTTGAAATTGAAACATTTCTCGGAAGTCAGGAAATCCCATATGATTGCAAAATTTATGAGCCATGATTGGTCCTATAATGTTTCCAGTGGAGATGAATAGCAGTGCTGAATATGCACCAAATATTGTAGTATACATGAACTGAAACACTAGAATAGCAAATGCTAATAATTATGAAGTGAATATCAAATGATCATTTTTAAAACAAAACATATTTCTTATGTATCAATTGTATCATTATTAGTAATTGTTTTAATACACTTATACTCTGTATAGCAAGATATCACCCTGATTCCTGCCATAGTGGATCCATTTCAATATCTGGGAGTCGTGCAGAAAAACTGATTGCAGCATATTCTCTTGCTGGACAGAGTATATCAAATAGTAAGTAACCCTTCCGCAGAATATTACAACATTACTTAGAAGTTATATCCAAGATTTTATGAATAATAAAATATTTTTTTAAGAATTTAAAAATGTACCTGACATAATAAAAGCATCTACACATGGTACACCTGCTCGCATCCTTTCTATCCACTGATTAAAATGAGCTAAGCAAGATATATAATAAGAGTAAAGATTAGATTTGTAGTCATATTAATTAAACAGTTCCATTACCTGCTCCAAAAAATATGGGACAGATGAAAATGGTGGTCGTTGGCTTGAAACATTGAAGTAATAGAGGTATAATGCAAGCTCTAAAGGTAAATTCTTCAGATATGGGTGCCACCACATAATTTCTAAGCCAAATCAAATCAGTTAACTTTGATTTTATGTTTTCAATACCTGAGAATAATAAATTGTTGATTATTAAATTGTGTTAGTTATATTATTCTACTAGGTAAACTTTTTAAGACTTACTGATGATGGYTTTTAATTGAATGTTTTTACAACAAATTAAGCATATTGGACCCAGGAATAATATAAATGTTAAGAAGAGTGAAGAAGCAGCAGACATAAATATTCCATCCCATTTTAAACCCAGCCAATACCAAATAGGTACCTAAAAATATTTATTTAAATGTTTATGAAAATAAAACAATTTTATAATAACTGTCTTACTTTAGTTTTGTCACTAATAAAATACCACGTATATAAAGGTGAAAATATTAGCATGAATGATACACTAAGGAATCTTTTCTTTATAGTTGATGGATGATCTCTTAGAACAGAAAACAAGTAATTAGTAATCAAATAGGTTTATAAAATTATAATATTACTTGTAATTGGTATTTATGGTATTTATTGTTTATGAATAAATAAATTTTAAAATTACCTAGAATGTTGTGAATTCCATACATATAAGCTGGAAACATATATCACAGATAAGAAGAGACTTTCCAGAACACATTTTATGTAAGAACATTGATAATTTAATTTGTCTACATTCATTTTAGGAACACAATTATAGTCTTGTCATTTTTTCTCATATAAAGAATAATGTTGATGGTAGGCTATTAACAGGAAAATTAAAATTAGAATTTGTGTATTCCAAAATAAAATATTAATTGTTAAATGCCTATTTATTTATTTAAAGAGTTTAAGTATAATAATGATTTCTATTACTAATTATTAATTATATGTCTATATTATTAAAATTTGTAAAGATTGTAAATTTCAAAAGTATTGTAAAATAATGTCTAACGTAAGAGTATATTATTATGCTATTACAATTTTTATCAAATACTCTAATGCTAATTTTATAAKTTTAATTTAAACAGTGGAGTTTTAGTAAGTATAATATATTACAAAAGGTACTATAACAATTTAAATTTAATAATTTAATGTTTTTAGCTCAACTTTGCAGTATCAATTTACATTTTAAGTTGTCAAATTTTACATGTCTTATTGAAATCAGAGTAACAAAAAGAAATTACATAAATWTGCAACAKGGTTTAAGATTCTCRAGAATTCATTTTTATTTTTTTATTTTTTGGCAAACTAACTAATTCATAGTCATTTAGGTCAAATATATACCTTATAATATTATCAAAACTCACTAAACTCAGCTCATAGATCAATGTGTTGTATGCGGTATGCCTGTATATATGCGCGCGCGCGCGCACACACACACACACCAGTACTTATAATATAATTCAGGTTAGTTACAAATATTCAAAAATGTGGACATTAATTATAAACATGTTACTGAAAAATGTAGCTGTTGAACAAAAAAATTGTACAGTACAAACCAGACCATCACAGATCTTAAAAAAAATTAAAACATCTGTGAGGAAACATAATGATGGTAAGAGGGAAATCAGAATTTTTTAATATCATTGCTATTTTTTTTTTATTTGAAAATAGTGTAATCAACATGAATGTATTTTATTATATTAATTAATAATAATTCAATATTTTATTTTATTTAAATGATATTTAAAAATRTTGGTGGCTTATYATTATAAAAAMAATTCTAAATTTTTAAATTTGAATAATTTATCTGTTGGATATTTTGATCGATAACTAATTCATAGGTAGGGAAATATAAATATATAACCATAGTTTTGTGAACRAAATGAATCTTAATTYATTAAAAAGACATCTATAGTTCTRGAACTTTTCTTTGCTGATTTTTGGCACAATAAATATTTCAACTAACGAATACATAAAATATCACAAACCATTGTGTATAGGATATTCATAAATATATAATACATTTAATTAATTATAACTTAAAAGAAATAGTGAGTATATTTTTGTTAGAAATTGAAGAAATTTTCATCTCAATGTCTATTTTTCATAGAATGAACAATGTGCAAATTTATTACTTTGTAGTTAGGTTTAATATTTTTATATGCATCAGAATTTAGAATAAGGTTATGGAAATATTGACCATAATATTATATTAAATCTGCCTTTTTTAAAACTATTAGCTAATTTAAATCTTTATATTATTACTAATTTTAGTCTTTGGGCTTRCATTAAAATTAAAAATGATAATCAATATTGTAAACAAGGTAAATTATTAAAAATTAAAATGATTTAATTTCTGTTRAACAAAAATCTAAAAGAAATTAGATTTTTGAAATACAATGAACAGATTCAATTWAAAAAAATAAGGTAATAACTTTACAAGATAATTCACTATGYGGTTAATTTATAGTTATTTACCTTATATTTGAAATAGTTAAGTACATAAATATGATTTAAATAACTATTTTCTTCTACAGTAACCTAAAAATTCAGAGTAAAATTATAGTGTACCTACTATTGTTATTTAACTTTTTTAGACTTGTAACAGTTAACACTTAAAAATTTTAAAAGGAACATTCAAAAGACGGATAGCGGTCCAAAATTGTAATATACTACTTAATACTTTATATAAYTGTAGTGAATCATACAAAACATATTAGTTATTAGTTTATTACCTACTTCATTTTATTATGTTCACGGGCTTAGTTAGTCGATAGTAGCAACTTTACTGGTGAGCAAAGCTAAAAAAAAAAAAATGTACA